GGTGTCGGCGGGGGGGGTCGGCGGGCGCCCGCGGGTCAGGAGCACCGCGATAAGAGTGACCACCAAGAGCAGGGCCAGGAGGGAGCCAATCACAGCGCCGGCCACCACGCCGGGACTGACGGGTTCCTCCAAGGCTTCTGCAGAGGGGATGAAGGGGTGAGGAAGGAGGGAGGAGACATGGGTGGAGGGGAGGAAGAAAGACAGAAGGACGTTTTCACGAAGTTGGACACAGTTCTTCTACCTGTAGTTTGAATCCTCTGACAAGTGTGTCCTCGGCTGGGATCAGAGACTAGCGCCCCCTCTCTCTCACAGGCTGGTACTACATGTCTGTCCAGCTGCTGGCACTCCAGGTTTTTTTGTTTTTTTTAAACCATTAAGCCCCGCCCCCTTTCGGCAGTTCTACCCTCCATGTTGGTGTGAGCCAGGTTTGCCTCTCCACAAAAATGAGGGACGAGGTCTTTTCAGTGACAGCAGGATGAAGACTGCGGTCCAAGTCTGGACACAACAGACAGAGTACTGACCCTCTGGGTCAGAGTCTATGCTGAGGCCCACAGGACCCCCCCCCCACGCCCCCCCTCACCCTCCAGTTGTGTTTTGTGTCCAGCTGTTACAGTCTGTCGTCCCATTGGTCGATCAGCAGAACCACACACACAGAACAGACAGACAGACAGACAGACAGACGAGGTTTACTAGAAGGTGGTCAGTGGGATAGTGGGGGGGGGGTTAGGAGGGGGGGTTTAGCCATGCAACATCACTGGTCGCTCCACAGCTCCACCTACAGTCTGATGTGATACTACAGTGTGAAGGTCTGACGTACAAGGATCACTTGGTGACGGAGAACCTCCACAGAACGTCATCATCCACCCCCCCGGCCCCCCCACTGCAGCAACACCACCCAGACCATGACCCCCCCCCAATAAACCCGTACTGTATAATTAACATCATTACGACCAGTCGTTTCACCGCGACCTCCGTGGTTTTAGGTCGTCAAACAGATTTGTCTTATAAGAAAAAAAGAAAATTAAATATATTTTTTTAAGTAACATGTTACAGTTCAGTCCTGCTGTGGTTCAATTCCCCTCCACCTCCACCTCCTCCTCCACCTCCTCCTCCCCTCACGCTCTGATTCCTCCCGCTGCTGCTCTCGTCAGTCGGCCAGTCAAACCGTGGGTCGGGGTCCAGTCCAAAGGTAAAAGCTTCACGGAGCAGCAGCTCCGGAGGTTCTGACTCACACGGTTCTATGACTAATTCATGAGCGCGCCGCTCTGAAACACACGCTTCAGAGATGTTTTTTCTTCTTCTCCTTCTTCTTCTCCAGGATTCCAGCCCGGCCGCTGGAAGACGTAACCGCAGGTAAACCTCACGTCTGTTTTATGTAAACAGCAGCGAGGAGCTGCCAGAGCCGCGAGCTAACGCAGCGGCGAACGCCAATCAAACGATCTGGAAGCAGCAGCAGTGAGGGAACAACGCTGGACCGTAAGACCAGAATGCATTAGTCTGACACCACCAGCAGGGGGCGGAACGACCATCGAGTCTGGAGGACTTGAACAGATGTTGGGATTTGACCCGACGGGACAATGGGATGAAGCTCAGACAGATTCAGACACTGGAGCTTTTCTGCTGCATTTGTTTATGTTTTTCATTTTAAAAACCCAAAGATCAAAAAGAGAGAGAAGAAAAAAAAAAGTCAGACGTTTGAGGCTGTAGTTCCTGAAATGTTTTGACAAAACTTTTAACGCAACGAGTTTTCTGGAATGTTCTTAAAATGAGAAGAAAAACAACTGAAAAAAAATGTCTCCGAGTTATTTTTTTTTAAAGGTTGTTAAATAGTTTACTTTGAGGTGTTTTTTTCTGCAGTGATGACAGCGCCCCCTGTCTATAAGTTCCAAAACCAAACTCAGTTATTCCTGTCTCAGTTTAAACTAAACCATTAATTGAACTTTGATTTAGTTCCAGTTGTTAATTGTCGTTAATCCAGTTGGTAATTCTAAAGGTAATTAGTTAGACTGTAAACTAATTTATTTTTAAAGTTCAAAGATTAATTAGTTGTTTTTATTTTTTAACTTAATGAAGGTTGGTTTTTCCTGGACCGTCCTTGGACGGACGTCTCTCCGGTTTAAGATCCAAACCCTGCGCTCTGGTCCCACGGTGGACGCAGGGGTGAGTTCTGCCAGGGTGAGACAGACGGACTGGGCTCCGGGGACAGGAAGTGATGTCAGAATTAGGGGACGGTGAAGTGAAGCCACAGACGGCGTTCAGAAGACCAATCCAACTTTTTTTTCAACCCTCGTCCTACTTTCCTCTCTCTCCTTCTCTAACTCAGACAGTGAAGCTGAAGCGCCTCCTGCAGGCCAAACGACATTCGCTGCCTGATTCATGTTCGGAGCGTCCATCCATCAGGCGTCTCGGCCGGAGACGGCAGAATAATGGTCTTTTATGGCAGGTCTTCGTGGCTGTCCTCCCCCCCGTTAATCAAACTCTTTAAACCCCATTATTCAGAGCCGACCATAAACACAACACGCCTACGCCGGGTCATTTGCCGCCAAAGGTTCATTTGTCTCTAATTGTGGGTCGCGTACAGAAGCGGACCAGAACGAGAACCATGATGAATGTGGCAGAACCAGCGACGGTGGT